GATCACCTCTAATCTTCTTGATCCCATCCAGCGTAGGGAACTTCAGTAATTGATGATAAGTCAATGGCACATCCTTCATTTCATGAATCCATGGCCTACCAAGTATCACGTTGTATCCTATATCACCATCTACCACCTCGAACGGAGTGGTATTCATTACGCCTTCGGCATGTGTGGGCAGTAAAATCTCCCCTGGAGTTGATACACTCGTTAGGTTGAACCAGACCAGAAGCTTTGTTGTCGAAACTATGTTTCCGGTTAACTTTGCTTGTTCCAAAATCCTCAACAAGATGATATCGACTGAACTACCTGGATCAACCAACACACGTTTAATTTTAAAATTTAAAACATGAAGTGATATTACCAGAGCATCATTGTGTAGTAAAATAAAACCATCAACGTCTTCTTCCGTGAAGGTAATTTCATCATCTTCTGATGCTTCTCGTACTCTCTTGCCATGAGTTATCGATATCTTTGTCTTCTTTACTGCCAAAATGGTCACCCTATTTACTTCAACTCCGCCAAAAATCATGTTTATTATTAAACGGGGTGACCCTGTGGTCGGTTTTGGCTGGTTTCGTAGCGTCTCGATTCCTCCCATAATTGGTCACTCATAAATTCTCTAAGATGACCGTTCTTCAATAATGTTGCAACCTCTTCAGGAAGATGCACGCAGTTCTCAGTCCTCTGGCTATGCGTTCTGTGGAATTCACACCACAGAGTAAGATCCATTTGACTAGGATCTAACCAAATTGAATTTTGGAAAACTTGTCTCCTTGATGTTTCACATAGCTAAAACCAATTCTACCAAACAAAAATTGAAGTTGTAATCTGACAACCGGGGATATGCTGAATCTAGGGACCCCGATTGTTCATTCTCCTATAAAACCCTGCTACTCTGACCACGATCCGTCCTTCTATCCAATACAAACCTTTCTGAAGATGGCAAACCTTTAATTCATCGCCCATCAACTCTTTCATAAGGTTGGAAATGACTCTTGGAAGACCTTCAGTCTGTATTAAAATAACTTATGAACTTCTCCTGATTTCGATCACGATTGCAACCTTTATATGACACTGAAGAACTAAGTTAATCATCTCCAATTCTTATTTTTGATTCATAACGATTATGGACATCTACCCATGTGGTTGCCTGAAACTCCAACATGCTTTCCTTTAATTTCCTAGAGGCATCGGAGCTTAATGGATTGAGAACTTTGGTGAACGCTTCAGGTGCCTACTCATTCAGTACTGTCGGCGACAATATTACGAACTCCCGCAACAATTCAGATTTTTCTTGAGAGATTCTGAATATATCAGCTTTTCTAGCTTGGACTTTTCTCACCCCATCATGAGCTTTAATAAAGGAATCTGCAAGTATTTCAAAACAGTCAATAGAATGTTCAAGTAAAAGAGAGTACCATGTTAGAGTACCCTTTGTTAGGATTTCGCCAAATGTTTTTAGCAAGACAGATTTAATCTCACGCGGGGCCAAATTATTTTCCTTTACAGCCATAGTGTAAGTTGTGATATACTCTTGTGGATCAGAAGTTCGATCATACTTCGAAATATCAGGCATCTTGAATCTTTGTGGAATCAACTCTGGGGCCGCCGCACTTGGTTTGAATGAAAACTGTGTATACTTCTTTGAATCTGACCCCTTTAATACTGTTGGTGCTCCTGGGATCTGATCCATCCAAGCATGCAATTCTTTAGCATTTTGATCCATCATATCATTCATTTTCATCATGAATCTTATGAGCTAGGTTTTAAAGGGATCATTTGTGTTGTTGCAATCGGATCCACTATCTGCTCCTTCCTCGAACTGATGTTACCAGTTCTTTGCTCTGTTTGATTTGCAGGCATGCTGGGAGGGACTGGAACTCCTCTATTAGAATTATTGGAGGCAACCGAAAGTGCTTGCTGGAGCTCTGTCATCATTCAGTCTTGTCTTGAGAGATGATTCATAATTTCCCTTTGTTGCGTTCTCAAAACTTCTACCGTTTCAACAACAGGTTCATCGTCCATATCATTAGGAGTTATACTTCTCACACGCCGAGAATTTCGTTCTTCGCGAATCGAAGTTGTCTCATCTCCATCGTTGCGAGTTTCACCAGTTGAATCATCACGCTGGAACATATCTTCCCGCTCATTGTTTGTTCCAACATTGAAAGAGTTGTTTACATCATTAGTTGCCATATATGTTTTTACTTTACTAATGAAAAAGTGTCAAAAAGCGTTAGTAACAGATGAACATATCAAAGTAATACCACAATTCTCTATGCCCCAAGTGAGCACTAAACTATTTACCTGTAAAACGGTACAGTTGAATTTGTATCATAGTTTATAGACACATGAATTAATCTAATTCAAGAATAAAATAACAAAGAACTGAAATTAATTTAATTAAAGAAATTTAAAGAAAATGCAAGCCTGATTGTAAAACGAGCTTCTCCAGAAGCAATAGTAAGAATAATGTATTGAGCAGAAAGAAAGAATGTTGTTAATAGAATAATAGTAAGCTTAACCTTTTTGCATACAAATGTTTTCGTGTCCTAGAATGAATACAAATTCTTCTATTTATATCTCAATTCAGGGAGACAAGATCCTCAAATCAAACTCTTCTTTAATATGAATAAAACCCCTCTTGATGGTTTGTATAACGGTTGAGTATATAAATGCAAAGATTCTTTGGAACGACTGCTCATTGAATGATGTCTTTTCCAACCGATATCTTCCTTTCAGACTTTCGTCCCTGATTCCACCGTCTTCGAAACTCATTCAGCACCAATCACATGTTCGTAACCGGTGTCAGCTATTTGCTGACTCATATCTTATTTGTCTTCACGACTACGTGTCTACCCGACGAGCATCCACATGTCGTTCATCAATTTTACCCCATACAGAGTGGTCGTGTGAAACAATAGTGAAAATTTTGCATACAATTGTAGAAAGAGGCCTAAAATGGATTGAAAAATCCACTACTTCCTTTGTTCCAATTTATGTAATGCACAATTTCTTTTTTAGTTTGTCCTAGAAAAATTAATACCTTTCAATATTTAAAAATAATTTAAACTTTAAACTTAGTTTTATCCTTAATGAAAAGATTTAAACTTTAAACTATATGTTTCAAATAAACTCTGTGCCCAATCATATGCACCACATAAATTGGGAGAGAGGAAGTATATTTTTAGGCGAGTAAATTTGATGCGTCTCATGACCAACGAAACTAATCTGCAAGATGTGCGTACGCTTATACACAAGCAAAGCTGATAATTCCTCACTTGTCTGTTTGCCTACTTATTTTCACAACTGACAACATGATTTTTTGTTAGCACAGTGGACTATAAGAAGACATTGAGATGATTTCACTAGTTTTAGGTTACTAGTAAGTAGTATATCATCTATAAGTTTAGACATTATTTCTGACCATATTTGACTTGTTAGTATACAGCAGATATCTTACAATAACAAAAAGTACATACGAGAGACGTTGATGAAGTTGGTGAAGAAAATATTGATATATTTTTGCGGACTTTGCGGGTTTCCCTTTGTAAGCTTCCTATTATCGAATTGCTTTCATCGAGAATATAAGCTGTGCTTCTCATATATATAGGTTCAACAGACAATTCCAATACAATACGAAACAATCATCCATGACAAATCTCTTAAAATCACCAAAATAGTTTATGAGGTTGGGGTTTCATTTATATAGACTTCTTTTTTCTAAATCTATAATGTAATAATTTAATTGTATCCTTTCTGTCTTATAGAAATTTGGATTTTCCTTTCTACACCAAAGAGACAATCATATAGGTACTCTCTGACCCTGATCTTCGTGGAGTTCTTCAGCTATGATTGGACTTCAAAATATGCATTTGTTTGTTTTAAATACTTTTTCCTTTAAAACGAATCTTTTATGAAATTTAAAGAAAAAGCATGCATATATATATATATATATATATATATATAT